CGACAGAGCATGAGATGGCTGGATGGCATCACCGACTTGATGGACATGGGTTTGGGTAGACTCCGGGAGTTGGTGGTGAACAGGGAGGCCTGGCATACTGCGGTTCATGGGGTCACAAATAGTCTGACACGACTGAGTGACTGAACTCAACTGGACCCATATATGAGCACTTGCTTTATTATCCTACTAGTACCAATGACTTCCATGATAGCTCAGATGATAAGAAATCGGCATGCAGTACAGGAAACTGTGGTTTGATTCCTGGTTTGGGAATATCCGCTTGAGAAAGGATAGGCTACCAACTCCAGTATTCTGACCTAGAGAATTCCATGGGCTGTATAGTCCATGTGGTTGAAAAGAGTCAGACACAACTGAGTGATTTCATTCATTCACTCTCTGACTCAGTACCAGTGAGCAGGGAAGTAGATTTTAAGTAAATTCTTCTTAATTAACTGCCCATCTAGATGGAATAAAATCAATCCAACAAAAGTCTGTTCCAAGTTAATAGTGAATCTAAGTGGGAAGGTAAGAAAAACTGGAAGATGACATAGGGGAATATCTTCATGGTCTCAGGTAGGAAAAAATCCAAGGGCAGGAATTTGTGCCTTCTGTGTTCATTCCCCATCTCCAGTGCGGATGCCCAGTATTTACAGAAGGAACATAAAGGGAACTTCAACACTGTCTGGAGGAAACTACACACATGCAAGTCATTTGGTGTTCTTAATGATCAGATTGAATGTCATATAAATGTCACTTCTCATTAGTCTAACATCTAATGCAATCCTAATTAAGAACCATTCAGATGGATTTTCAGGATAAACTGATTCTAAGTTTCACATAGAAAAATGAGCAAGAATACCCAGAAAAGCCCTGAGGAAAACAAGCCAGGTCCAGTGATGAGGTATGATAAGGCCTACCAGGAGATAAAACAGATTTTAAAGCCAGGATCATTATCATTTTTTATGAAGAATCCAGGCCACAACTATTAAAAGTTCCATCACTGGCTCAGGTACCATTACAAAAAACACTTGACTCTGACTTCTTAGATGCCTCCCAATTCAGAGATCTCTGCTCTTTTTTAATTTCTTGTTTCTCACTCAGAGCATTTATTAAGAGTGAAGTTGGGTCACCCTATTTAGGCTTATGCAGCACAAAAAGTAGCTCAGTCAGTAAAGAATCTGCCTGCAGTGTAGTAGGCCTGGGTTCCATCCCTGGGTCTGGAAGATCCTCTGGCGAAGGAAATGGCAACCCACTCCAGTATCCTTGCCTGGAAAATCTCTTGGACAGAGGAGCCTGATGGGGTCACAAAGACTTGGACACGACTGAGCGACTAACACTTACTTAACACAAAAAGACACATACATATTGAGAGTGTTAATAGCCTCTGTAGGCAGGTCAGAGGTGCCCAAGTGGCAGGAGGAATTAAAACTGCAATTGGTGGACTTTTTTTATTCCTTTTTTCTCTTAAAGTTCTGTGTTGTCATGACAATACCTACTTCTGCCTGAACTTAACTTTATTTGAAATCTTGAGCTTACCAATGCATTTTTCTCATGGAAATGTCTTCCTTAAGCTATGTTAATGTGTTAAAAAACACACACACACACACAAACTATGTATTTGTTTGGAAATCTGCCTTTCTTCAAGATTCTGATCAACTGTTTTATGGCCAGGCATGACTCAGCTTGTGCCAATGATGTTTCAAAATGCATGTTGTCAGTGAGGTGCCCGGTGCAACTCTCTCAACCTTGAGGTGTTTCTTTTCTCTAATGAGGATTTGCTAATAGGTATATAACTCCATGCTAGAAAGTAGCAAGAGGACACTCTTTCTGTCCCCTTCTGATATCTATATCAGAAACTGTCTCTTATGTCTTTTGTACTTTAATAAAACTTCATTACCTAAAAAGCTCTGAGTGATCAAGCCTCGTCACTGACCCCAGATTGAATTCCTCTTCTCTGGAGGCCAAGAATCCCAGCGTCACTCACAGCTCATCACAGCAACATTTCAATACTAAAGAGATCCTCCCAGAACTAAGAGTCTTTTAATAGTACAGAGCCATAGATTACAAAATGAAAATATATATGACCCCCCTAACTTATGCAGCTTCACAGGGGGCACTATGTGGGTCAGGAAGATCCCCTGGAGGAGGCATGGCAACCCACTCCAGTATTCTTTCCTGGAGAATCCCGTGGACAGAGGAGCCTGGCGGGCTACAGTGCATAGGCTCGCAGAGTGGGACACAAATGAAGTGACTTTGCACTCATATACCCTAATTTGTTGGGAAATTATTGTCACAGACAATATGAGGAGGCATGAAATAGAAATTCAGTTACAAAATGAACAATAAAAGCAACAAATTTGCACCCCCAAACACTCTGATAGGCAGAACAGATAACAGACATGTGAAACAGGAAATAGACCCAAGCTCTGTCATTGCCAAAGATATGTTCATTAAGTGAAGGCCATGGAAGGGCTTGTGTTTAAAGATGCAAGCTCGATGAAAAAGTTGCCTGTAGACATGCCTACCCTAAGAAAAAGTCCCACCCTGCCCCTGTCTGGATTCCACAAGAAATGGGGTCAACTTCATCCTCCCTAACTAGACACTTGGAAACTGTAATAAAATGGAGGGAACACAAAGGCAGCCCTGGTGCACCCACTCCCCCCCCAGGTGTGATCCGAGCTCACCTGTCCTTCAGTCCAGCTGCCTTTCTCACCAACAGGGATGGGACGGCTACTGGCCGGGCCACAGAGCTGTGTCTGCTCGTCAGGGTCATCCGAATGACCCGCCTGAAAGGCTGAAGTCTGAGCGACAGACCACACAGCGAGTCTATGTTGTGAACGTTCCACCAGGACGGTGGAACCTTGGACTTCACTCATAGGCTGCCCTATTCTCCTCTCCCATTCATTTGGGAAAACTTAACTGCCTTCCCAGCCTTGAATCCAGAAAGTTGTTTCAGCCTCTGAGAGCCAGGCTGGCCTTGGAACCTCTGCTCAGGGACAAGGTCTGGATGATCCGATGCACCCCACAGGCTGGGTTACGGCTGTGCTGCGCGTCAGGAAGCGGATGAGCACTGGCCAGGTCAGGAGGGCAAGAGCTTGGTCCAGACAATGCCCTGGGGCCCGGCAAGTCTTGTTGAATTTGCTTCCCCATCTCTAAAAGTCAATGACATTTCCCCAACACCATCTATTGAAGCAACTGTCTTTCCTCTCCATTATGTATTGCTTTTAATTCTGTGTTTTAAGAAAAGCTCTTAGCTATTAGCCTAGCCCACCTTCACTGAAAACCTATCTATAATCCACATTAATGTGTTTTTCAATTATTTTAATGCATTTTGATGCAATGAAATTTAATACAAAATTTATTCTTATTGCATACACCTTTTGAAGAGTGTGGTTCTTGTATTATGAATATATTTCCTATTCGGCTTCTGACAGATGATACTTGACACACGTAATTATTATGTAGGGAACAGAAAACTGTACACATAACTACAGAGGAAAGTTGGGAACATGATCAAAGCAGCTTTCATAGAAATGAACTTTCCCAAGATTTACTTGGGCCTGGGGCATAGGCTAAAATGTAACATATAGTTGTTGCTATTTTGGTCTATGAAATTCCTTTACTGTTTCATTTCAAAGTATGTAAAGTGTTAAGAAAAATACCACCAAATAAAACACTGTATAAGTCAGAAAGGCAAATCTTGTATATTAATGCGTGGGTATGGAATCTAGAAAGATGCTACTGATGAACCTATTTGTAAGGCAGCGATGGAGATGCAGATATAGAGAACAGACTACAGACTTGTGGACACAGTGGGGGAAGAGAGGGTGGGGCCAACTGAGAAAACAGCATGGAGGCATATGTATTACCTGATGTAAAACCAGAGCAAGTGGGAATTTGCTCTGTGACACAGGGAGCTCAGCCTAGTGCTCTGTGACAACCTGGAGGGGTGGGATGGGCAGGGAGAAGGGAGGGAGTTTCAGCAGCAAGGGCACATATGTATACCTGTGGATGAGTCATCCTGATGTATGTCAGAAACCAACACAAGATTGTAAAGTAATTGTTCTCCAATTAAAAAAAAAAAACATGATGTGGTAAACAGAATTAAAGGCTATTGAGAAAGACAGACCAGATTGCCTTTTTATTATAGAAAAACATTTATTGTGTTAACATTTTCACTGCTATGACAACTTCTGAACAAGATTTAAATAAACCCCTTAGATGGACCTTCACATAGCAACATTATAGGAGACAAAATTTACCTTTATTTTTTTTTAAATAAAGATACTAAAAAGTGAAACTTTAATGCTACATTCTTTAATATCCATAAAAAATTTCAACTCAAGTTTAAATACTTTTTGCTTCATTAAGGAAAGTATAAAATATTCTACATTTCAAACACTATTATTTTAAGATTCAGGTATCTCTTCATACTGCCAGCATGCTTCCAATACTTGCACAGTACATCAAATAACTGTAACTCTGAAAAATCTTGAACTCTGAAAAATAAACACAAAAAAACACATACTGATGTAGTGTGCCATCCTAACAGGGCAGGGTGATCCTTGTCTCCCCTAGTGATCAGTGAGGCTGAGCATCTTTAACTTGTTGGGCATTTGTGTGTCTTTGGTGAAATGTCTATTCAAATCCTTTGTGCATGTTCTAATCAGCTTGTTTATGTTCAGTTTTAGGAGTCCTCTATGTTATAGATATTATTCCCTGATGTGGTTTTCGCCATTGTTTATTGAAATGGCTCCACACTGGATATGTGCGCCCAGGGGAATTACCAGATCAAGGGGCATATGGGGAATTCCCTGTTTGTTCAATGGTTAGGACTGAGTGCTTTCAGTGCTGGGGACTGGATTTAGTCCCCTCAGGGAACTAAGATCCCACAACCTGCAAAGCATAGCCAAAAACCAAAAAACAAAAAGGTATATATATTTACAATTAATACACTGCCACATAATTGCTCAGGTGTAAGAGCTTACACTAATTTACACCTCCACCAATTCCATTATATTCCATTATATGCTCAATGATCTCTCCAGACAACTTAAAAGATTTTTTCTCACTTTTGAATTAATAACTCTAAGATATATAAACTGGAATTTAGGGAACAGCTAAATAATAGAGGTGTGGTGCATGTGTCTAGTTGTGTCCAACTCATTGTAACCTCATGGACTGTAGCCCACCAGGCTCCTCTCTCCATGGAATTCTCCAGGCAAAAATTATGGAGTGGGTAGCCAGTCCCTTCTCCAGGTATCTTCCCAACACAGGGATCAAACCTGGATCTCCAACAATGCAGGTAAATTCTTTACCATTTGAGCCACAGGGAAGCTCTAAAGTTTCATGGAATTCTCCAGGCAAGAATATTAGAGTGTGTAGCTGTTCCCTTCTCCAGGGGATCTTCCTGATCCAGGGATTGAACCTGGGTCTCCTGCACTGCAGGCAGATTCTTTATCATAGACCCCAAATAAAGAATAAGACCTGATTTATTATGTTAATGGCTCTTAGAGATAATGCTGATTGTAATAAACACACTAACAATACCTAGCTAAGGAAAACAGGCATTTGAAAGTCCATGAGTTTTTCAAATTTTACCTTTTTTAGTAGGCTGGTACCATTTTTCTACACAGACATTAACGATAAAACTTCCTGGGTTTTCCCCATTTGTTTTCTGTTTCTTTTTTCAGTTTATTTGCTTTGTATCTCTCAGCCATTGAGACAAGATCCTCTGGGACACTCTGCAGTCAATAAATGTCTTATTAGGATTGAGATGATACCTTTAACATATCAGCTTTTCTATAACATACTAAAATGCCTCCAAATAGAGAATCTCCACAATTGACTGCAGATACCTTCCAAACAGAATGGAATGTGTTCCTCTGCACAGTCAACACTGAATTTTCAAGGTATAAAAACCAGTCTGGTGGTAAAACTCCCTGTCAGTAGGCACGCAGCCCTCCTGCTCACATGACCCTTGGCTGCTTCCCAGTGCCTTTATCTGGTGCCGTTTTCTCCTCTCGAGGCCTGAGGATGTGCCCTGCTTCTCCTACACTCTCCAACCTCCACCCACCGAGTTCTTCCTCAGCAGTGTCCAGTGACACTCCTCCACATTAGAACAGGCTCCCCGGTTATACATTATATCATCATATTATATTATAGCACCTCGTCTTTGCCATGTTACAACTCTCAAAACACACATAATTATTTGCTTAATATCTATATTTCCTGACAGGCTGTAAGCCCCAGTACTCGGAATAAATGAAACTTGAACCTTAGAAAATAGAGTTGCATATTCTCACCTGATTTGCTCTTTCCAGAATATTAATTAATTCACCAGCAATCTTCCAATCATTTCTAGTGATAAGGGCAATAGATACCCCGGTCCTCCTTCAAGGGGGGAAAAAGTTAATGTAATTTGATTTATAATTTATATTAATGATTCAGCTAGCAACATTGAATAAAACTATAGTAAAATGTCAATTCTTTCGCACACCCAGCTATGTATGATGCATTAAGATTTAGCCATTCAAAGAAGATGTAGTAGATATATACAATGGAATACTTCTAAGCCATAAAAAAGAATAAAATAATACCACTTGCACCAACATGGATGGACCTAGAGATTATCACAATAAGTGAAGTAAGTCAGACAGAGAAACACAAATATCATATGGCATTATTTACACATGGAATCAAAAATATGATACAAATGAACCTATCTCTGAAACAGAAATAGAATCACAGACATAGAGAACAGACTCATGGTTGCCCAGAGGGATGGATTTGGGGGAGAGATGGAGTGGGAGGCTGGGGATAGCAGTGGAAGCTTTAATACATAGGATGGCTAACAGCTAGTTCCTACTGTATACAGCACAAAGAACTATTAATATATTCAAAACCCTGTGATAAACCATAATGGAAAAGAATATTTAAAAATGTATATATATGTATCACTAAATCACTGTGCAGTGCAGCAGTAATTAACAAAACACTGTGAATCAACCATACTTCAGTTAAAAAAAACTTAGCCACTGAAATAGCCATTTGGGATCTAATCTGCAGCTGATCAAACAGCACATCACAGGGGTTTTACAACTTTGCTCGAAGAGAGAAAGTAAAGGGCCTCTTTTTCAAAGTAAGGACAGTCTGTGAGAAGAATGAGGGGTCTCCCCCGGGTTGGTGGGCAGGCTCCACAGACTTACCCTGCTCTCCCAGTACGTCCCACTCGATGGACATATTCTTCGATGTTTCAGGGAAAATCATAATTATAGACATGCGTTACATCATGGACATCAAGACCACGAGATGCTAAATCAGTAGCGATCAGTATTCGCACTTTACCTGAAGAGTGAAGCCCAAAGAATACAGGCACATTCTGGTACAAACCAACCCAAGACATATCTGTTCCCTATGAGCTAATCAGGTGAAATATTACTGCTTTGAATATAAAAAAAAAAAACTTAAAAGAGAGTGCATGGGGAAAGGGTTACTTAGTCTCTTTTTTTTTTTGGCCACAAGGCATGTGGGATCTCAGTTACCCAACCAGGGATGGAACCCCTGCATTGGAAGTTAAAGAATCTTAAAGAATTTTAACTTCTGGCAATTTACAACAGAATAGATACCACCATTCAAATGGTTCATGAATCATGTCAAAGATATATGCCTTTCAGGTAAATTAAGACAACCATCCCCCACTGCAAATTCTTACCTTGGTATCTAGGTTTTAAACATGAGTTGGAGAGACAGAATCTGATTAACATTTAGAGCTAGTTCTGGGATCTGTTTAGCTGAAGGCAGATTTTAGACATGGGTTCCATGAAAGGTGCCATCACTGAGGAAGACCAGGCATTGGGCAGTTTTAAACCACAATACTAACGGTATAAATGTACCTGTTTTAAAGCTTTTTAATGCTCTCTCTCTATCACTCTGTTCTCTATTGCCATGCAGAGACTCTACTGATATACGCCGGATACCCAGGTCACTTGATAAATGATCAGCCCTAAAACAAAAAATAAAGTCAAGGGTCTAATTGCTTATTTGAATACCACAATCAATTCATTACTGTTACTTCCCCTGGCAAGAGTCTGAAGTAATGTACACATACTGTAAGACATACACCCTCCCCTTGTTTGAGATGATTATACAAATAGAAACAATGCTAAAACAAACACATGACTGATGATTTCAATGTAAAAAATACACTCACACAGCTTTCCGGCTGACAAATATTATGACTTTGTCCTTGGGAGACATGCTCTCGATGAAAGCTTGGATATGTGATCTTTTCTCATCTTCTGTGGTGACAATTATATTTTGTGTCACGGTACTTACAGCCTAAAGGATTCACAGATCATGGTACATCACCATTAATGGGAAAACCCCTTGATGGCTCGAAATCCATCTTACTTCTGTCATTGGTTAAATGTTTTAATAAACTGCCAGCAGAAGAAGTGGCAAGTTCTTCCAAAAATCTCCCGTTCCTACTCAGGGATTTAGAGCTCAGTCTTTGACTTTTTACCACTTAGTTACCCAAGATAAGCTTGGAATTTTGAATGCTTGTCAATGAGTTGAAGGCAACTGGTTGCTATCATTTGAAAAGGAATGACCATGGGTTGAGGCCAAGCTTACAATAACCACTGCCATGAACTGTGGCTACAGCCTTTACAATGTTCAGCTTACGACACTAAGAGCTTCAATTAAGTATTGTGACAACTTAATACAAAATTTCCAAATATCATTGTTACCATTTTTCTACCCCCAAGATGCAACAGATTTTGAAGTCTTTATCCTGACTTTTGTGAAATCTAATAAAATGCACCTAGGCAACAACTTGTTATTAATTACCACTGTTTAAGGAAAAGGTCAATTTTCATTAATAATTAGTTAAAAGGTCAATTTCAATTATGAAGTGAAAGGCCAATGAACTTTATAATGGTAAAACATTTACAAAATTAATAAGATATAAATAATAATTAAAAATAAGCTTACGACTAGATCCAAAGTACCAATATACACAATCATGGGCTCTTTCAAGTAAGATTGTGCAAGTCTACGGACAGCATATGGCCATGTTGCACTAGAGATAAAATGTAATACAAAAACTTTAAAATGTTTATTAGGAATCAAACATTACTAAGTTTCCCTAAGAATGCTATGAACCAAATTACCCAGGAAAGACAAACAGTACTTTTTAATGAGGCTGATTTCACAGAAAATATATGCTTCATAATGAACTGCTCAAAGAAGCTACTAGATGAAATCTTCAAATAAGTTTAATAGGTTTATAAACAAAAGGTGAAGGAGAGGTCTACCTTTCCCATCTACAGGGAGCTAAAATGAATTCAGGTGTTACATTAGTTTTCTCTTGGCCTTTATAAATGGTAAAAAATAAAAGTAAAAACCCAGTGTTTTTCATACACTGTGTGTGTGTGCATGCTCAGTCGTGTCTGACTCTTTGCAACTCAGTGGACTGCAGCCCACCAGCCTCTTCTGCCCATGGGATTCTCCAGGCAAGAATACTGGAGTGGGTTGCCATTACCTCCTCCAGGGCATCCTTCCAACCTAGGAATCAAACTTGAGTCTCATGCATCTTCTACATTAGCAGGCAGATTCTTCACCACTGCACCACCTGGGAAGCCCTTTCATACACTGTCGGCAGACAAAACCAAGAGCTTGAGCCAAATAAAAACATTTTAACTGTAATGATAATTGGATATGTAAATTCAGACGTTTCTTCAGTGATATATTATGAAAACAATCACCTTCTGTACTTTTATACTAATTAACAAGGTTTACTTAGGAAACAAAATGAATAAATTTAGTGTATTTCCCCAGTTATATACTCTTCCTTGCCTCAGTTTTATCTTGGATAAAAAGTGTTCTGTGATCAAATATTCACCTCTAAGGACAGATGGTTACTTTCTCTAATCTGAGACCCCCTATAGAACAGTCTCCCCAGGATGTTTTCATAAAAATCTTATTTTTAATTCAGGAAACCCAATAGTCATTATTAAGCTGTTGCACTGAGTTGCTATACTAAATGATAACATATCTTTCACCAACAGATCTCAAAATACTTTTACGTAAGGCTCTAAAATCAAATGAATTCTGTTCCACTGGTTCCTACTTTGCAGACTGGCAAATTAAACATACACCTACCTTGTCATAACTGTCTGCCTGTCTGGGCGTACATCTAATAAAATCTTCATTATCTGGGGTTCAAATCCCATATCCAGCATTTTGTCAGCTTCATCTAATACCTGTATTAGAAAGGGCCAGATTAGGGGAATTCCCTGGTGGACCAGTGGTTAAGACTCCGTGCTTTCACTGCCGAGGATATGGGTTCGATACCTGGTAGTGGAACTAAGATCCTGAAAGCCACATGGCAAAGCCAAAAAAGGGCTAGATTAGATGTGGATGGTAGCTAACATATATGTTCTTTCCCTATGAATATTAAGATAGCTTTCTCATTTCCTCCACTACCTAAACTATGTGTACTTGCAACACCACTGATTTGTTTGACAACAAATAAGTTTCTAAATATATTTAATGAAAATATAATTTAAATGTCTATAAAGTATTCATGTGGAATTCTTTTGTACTTATCTGCATTTTCTAACATTTATAAAATATTAAAATGGAATTATCTTTAAAATGTGTATTTTAACAAACTAGAGAGAATGAGAAGAATTCCTAGGATTTAAAAATATTATGAAATGGACAGCCATTTTAAAAGGTTTGATGAGAGCTAAGTTCTTCCTCCCAGGACCTCAAACCCCTGCTCCAAGATTACCAGGTAGGTTATGCTTTTCAGGTACACAAAGTTATTCATCTGTAGATCATGGAGTCTTCCGGGAGTGGCGATGATAATGTCTACACCTTTCAATAAATCTTTTATTTGTCCATCTCTATCGCCACCACCATATATACAAACACTTAAAAAAAATACAGAGGTTCATGTTCAGGTGGGTAATACCCCATCACAATTCAAAATCCCAACCAACCTAAGCCGATTTGGGGTATAAAATTTAAAAAAGTATATAAATCTAAAGTATCAGGCTAAGTATAGTCTTGGCTCCTTTCTGAGAACGATCCATAGCCATCAACCTACACTGATGTGTCCTAAAAGGTTCACATTTAAATCTTCGTTACCTGACCCCACCGCCCCAGCTACAGTCAATTTGAACGAGGGGTAATCAATGCTTGGCCACATGCTGAGCCAACTGGCTTCTCATTATGTGTGAAAACAACGAGGAGGATATCTAAAGCTACAGAGGATTAAAATGCTGGTGCAGGGATGGCCAAAGAAAGCAACTCACCTTTTAAGACCTCTGTATGAGTATTCAGAGCACTCGGCATCCACCTGCAGAGCCAACTCGAGAGTTGGGGTGAGGACTAACATGCCAGGCCCATTCCTGGCTCTTTGGAGAAAAAGCACATCAGTATCCATCTCAGGCACACAGGACCTCCGTCCAGTGCCTTCAAAATCAGCAGCAATGAATGTCTAAGTCATCAACATGCACCTCTTATAAAAAGTGGAGAAATAAAAACAGCCTGACCAAAGAATCCTAGAGCCCAGACACGAGCCTTCTTGTGAACACAGCCAGTGCCTTTCTGTGTTAGACATTCTCAGAGGACTGTACTGAATGCGGTCATTTGAACAAACTGTTTCCAACATCCCACTGTGAAGACTTGTGGTGGATACTACCTGCTGCTTCCTGAAAATGTTTCATCCATTTATATCCACCCACACAACAGAAAGTGATTTTTCCCTGCGATGAAGCACTGCCCTTGGACCAGTGCAATCAAACAAATCTTCATTGCATTTTTTGGAATCCTTATCTACTGAACCCCTAAAGAGTACCCAGATGTAGAAATTCTTACACAGATTGGGAGTCAATATGAATAAATCCAGGCATTAAGTAGGACAATGTCTTCCCTGTTCCAGTCTGGGCTACTCCTATCAGATCTATTCCTTGTAGGATGATTGGCCATGCCTGTGACTAGAACAGAATGATAAATATTAAAATAAAAAATACATTTCTTTCTGTCAAGTACTCCTCCTCTCCCAGCCCCAAACTTCTCAACATTTTCAGTGCTAGGCAGTGGTGGGTGTGCTGGGAGGATGCTTATAAGAGACAGTTGTCCCGGGTGTTATAAGTTCAAATAATCAGAAATTGGCAGAGGCGGGGGGAGTCAGTGAAATGTTAGAATTAAAGAAAGCATACCTGAATTGGTGTTGGCTTTTGAAAACCTGCCTTTTGAAGATTTCTCATAACTTCAGGGTAACAGTGAAATGCATCCTCAAAATTACAAGTAGGGTTAGGAAGAGGACGTTTCTCACCATCTTTCAAATCATCACAAATTATGTTATAATTTTCCTTCCTTTAAGAAAATAGAACAAGGATTAGTGGCTTTGATCACTTTACTCCCCAAGCAAGAAATTTTTTCCAACATTAAGGGCATATCTAGAAATTCAATGGCAACTGATTAAAATCAGACTGTTGGTTAAATTACAGTAAAAAAAAAAAAAAGTAATATGAAATAGAAGCTAGTTCATCTTTTTTTACCAGAACAGTTCCAAAGAAGAAAAATAATTACACTGTACACATGAAAAATGAGCCAATGAGAATTTCATGAAAAGGCTGAGAATAGAACCTGAAAATTATATGCTTCATGAATCAAAGTCAGACTTGGCAAACACCTGAGGGCCTATAACATTTCACACACATTTCCTTAATTAATCCTTCAAAGCAATCCTCTGAAGTGGGAATTACTCTCATTGGACAGGTGGTCTTTAGTTATCTGTCCACAGTCAGAGCACTACCTCAATCCTAGAATAACTGCTCTGTCTGCTGTACCATACTAGCTTAGTTTTATAAAAGATATTAATAGAAAAAAATGTTACCATTAGGACTTTTAAGTCCATATAATAAGGATTTAAAAGTAAGAAATTATTCTACTATTCAGATATCAGATCAATTTCTTATGATTTTCAACAGTTGTAGAAATAATTCTATAAAATTACTGCCAAATAGGACAGAAACTAACCATGTCTCTCTTTAAAATTAAACATCAGAATTCAGCTCCTTAATTATATGGGCTATATTTTAAGTATTTAATAACCATATATGGATAGTAACTACTCTAGACACAAATATAGCTCATTTTCCCTCTTTGCCAAAAGTTGTACTGATTAGAAATCTCTAATATATGATTTCAGATGCAACCAAGTTTTCTTTTGAATATAGAAGCTAAAGATTAAAAGCAAACAATTAAAAGCCTTTCCGAAGGAACCAAATTAACAACCCAAATCCAAAAAAAACCAACAAAAAAGAATAAAAACAAACCAACCCCAAATGGCCAACTGGTCCTGGGAAAATAAAACTGGTTTTTCCGAACCCAAGGAAAAAGTTTTCCTAAACGGAAGCAAAACCGGGGGAAAAAAAAAAAAATTAAAACTCAAAGAAGAAAGAAAAATCAAAATTTAACGGCAATTAATCAAAACAAAAAAAAACAAAACAAAAAAAGAAACAAAGTCCCCCTGCCAAAAAGGGGAATTCATTAGACAGTTGTTCTACACTTTGCCAACTTCTAGGAGATCTCCATTTTTGGTTTGTCTTTCAATTACATTTTTCACCCAAGAAAGATATCTTGAATAATTAAATAAAAAATAAACCATGCTTCACAAGACACTCAGTCATCACAACTGATGAATCTTTTCTCATAGCAGACTAACTGTCTTTGCTTTGCTTTGAAGATCCATCCCACTGCTGTTAAGGAATAAAATATTTACTCTCATTCTATTCTCTGAAGCTGATTTGTTTTCTTTTTTAAATGCTCGTCAGAACTCTACCAAACTTAAACCCTTTCCCGTCCCCTCCCTCCGCCCCAAACCTTCTAACACTCGTGTTGAGATAGCACTGGACAGGCAGACCGCCGCAGTCACACAGTGATGGGCACTGCTTAACTTTAAATAAGTGGTGGTGTTTTTCTGTCTCATTCTGATCAAATGAAGCTTGAATTTACTCTGAAATTCAATGAATAATATGGAACATTATACTTAATATATAATTCCAAGTGAGAATTTTAAACATCTGTTTCCTCAAGAACTGTATGCACTTATTAAATGTTTTCCCAATTTAATTTGGCCCTCCTGGGTAAAAAAACCCAAAAGCAAATTTTGCCCAAGCAAAGCAAAAAGGTAAACTAAGGGTGGCAAGGTTCACCAACTCAATTCCCCTTTGGCCCAAATTTCCGAATTTAATAAAACTGGGCAAGGAAGTAACCCAAAAAAAAAAAAAAAACAAAATTTAAACCCCCAATTAAAAAAAAAAACAAAAAAAAAAAAAAAAAAACAACAAGCCCCAAGCAACAACTGGAACAATTCAAAATCCAACGGCAATTTGCAAAGAAAATTCAATAACAAAAACAAAAACTTTTTTTACAGAGGCTAAAAACCTCAATTAAGAGGAACAACAATATACTATAGATAAATGCTGGGATCCAGCACTAACCTGCCCACTTTTTCTCATTCCATTTCAAAATGTTTTCTCGGACTTTATCCCAATCAATTAATTTCTGCTCTCCTGAAACATCCTTTATTGTATCTTTTCCATCCGAAAGCTGGACAGCAGCAACATCTGTTAAAAAATTCCACATGAGTTTCCAAACAAACCTAACCAATATAAAATCCCAAGACATTTTACAATTTTCTGTTTTAATAACCCAACAATAATAATGCCTGAAACATAAAATTTAGGAATTTAGTACAACAGTGCCATGACAATTCCGGTCATGGTTTATCGGTTATTTACTTCAGATTTCTGAAAGGCAAAAAAACCCCACAAAATTACTGGAGAAGTTAAAAAGCATGAGCGCCTAATGATTGCTAATAAATCACACATTACTAAATCTTTATAATAATCCTGTATGGCAGATGCTACCCCAGGTAAACAGAGGAAATAGTATCCTAGAGGCTTTTTAGAGGTATTTTCCCAAGAAACACCAAGATGCAAGGTTGCTAGCTGAACACAAGGCTCTCCTGGAAATGGCTTAATAATGGCTTTCTCTCTAGTCCAAGTATATTTGAGATTTTTTAAACATATCAAATACTTAAGCAGTTTTCAAAGTCAGTCAAATTCCAGGAAATGACCATAGACAGGAGGCTAGGACTATCTCTTGCTCTACTATCAACAGCGAAGTGTATTAAAAGGTTATTCTGTTTTACTACTGAAACTGCTAGACTTAACCACAGATACTAAGTGTTTCAGTTTGAGGAAAAGTATTCTGGATTTCATAGAAAAAAATTCCTTCTATAACATACTAGATTTAACGATGGCAAGCCAAAGCTTTGTTATCAGGAAAAACAGCTATAATACGGCTTATGACACTGAATGAAACATTTAAAATTTTACAGGACTTTAACGGGCAAAACAGACTTACCAAGTTTGGGTTCTGTGTTGTATTCTTCTTGTTTTTTAACAAGATCATCTATCACTGTTTTTGCTTTGCTCTGCATTGCCTTGGTGCCAAAGATTCTTACTTCTGCTTCAGGATACTCTCTTATTATCTAGATTCAAGAGGGAAAGCAGGTGAGACAAGTTCCCTTACCATTCCTCTGGCACTCAGTCTCATGTAGTATAAAAATGTAAAGGAAATACAGGATTGCCATCAATCACCATCTAAGACATAATGAATGCACTACAGCTTAGATGAGTTTTTAAAAAGAAGTATGAAAAACTTTGTCAACTTATCTAAGTTACCACCATATGTTAATAACAGGACAGAAAATAGTTAGGAATGACCATAATTCACCCTCTTTAATGACTTAAGAACATAGAAAATTTACCTGTATTTTCGTGTATGTTGAGCTCTGGATCTCTTTTATGTTTGACCCACCACAACCTGTTTTTAAAATAAAAGAATTTTTAAAAAATGAAATCAATTACAGGGAACCTACTACCCTCTCTGCTTAAAGAACCTTCTCTGCTACGGCTGCTGCAAAGTTGCTTCAGTTGTGTCCGACTCTGTGCGACCCCATAGACGGCAGCCCACCAGGATTCCCATCTGTCCCTGGGATTCTCCAGGCAAGAACACTGGAGTGGGTTGCCATTTCCTTCTCCAATGCATGGAAGTGAAAAGTGAAAGTGAAGTTGCTCAGTCATGTCCGACTCTTAGTGACCCCATGGACTGTAGCCTACTAGGGCCCTTCATCCATGGGATTTTCCAGGCAAGAGGACTGGAGTGGGTGGCCATGTCCTTCTCCAGAACCTTCTTTAGTTCTTTCCAAATTATCCAAACAACGGCTCCCAAGGTTCAGTAATCACGTTCAGTTTGTTAAAAGGGAAGCAGAAGCTTTCTATTCCAAATTGTGTGCGTGATAGGAGGCTCCTTTCCCCAGATATAAAGGATTCATCATCAGCACAAGCAAAGACTAACTGGATAAAAGAATGTGGATAAATTGGAACCCTTACACAAAATTCAACCAAAAAATTCCAATTAAAAATGTTCAAAGGTCTTGAATAGACCCTTCTTTGAAGATTTATTTATGACCAGTGCATGTATATAAAAGGATGATGAAATCATTGGATATGCAAATCAAAACCACAATATCACCTGTTAGAATGGCTCTCATCAAAAAGACAAGGGTTAACAAGTTGGTGAGGACGTGGAGAATGGGAACGCTTGTGCACTGTGGATGGGGATGGAAATTGATGCAGCCACTATGGAAACAGCATGCAGATTCCTTTAAAAACTAAAAATAGAACTACCTATGATCCAGCAATCCCACTTCTGGGAACTTAATACACAAGCATTGAGGAACTTCCCTGGTGGTCCAGTGGTTAAGAATCCACCTGCCAATGCAGGGAACATGGGTTCCATCCCAGGTCAGGGAACATCCCACAGGCCTCAGAGCAACTAATAAGCGCATGCACCACAACTACTGAAGCCCACATACTCTAGAGAAGCCTGCAACAAGCTGAGAGGAGCCCTCACTCTCCGCAACGAGAGGAAGTCCACACACAACCAACACTAAATTAATTAAACAAATACATTTACAGAAAGAATTGAAATAGCATCTTATGATGATAGCTGAATTCCCATATTCATTTCAGCATTATTCACAATAGCTCAGAGGTGGAAATAACTGAAGAATCTGTGAACAGATGCCTGGATGAAGAAAATGTGGTGTATGCATACAATGCAAGTTATCAGCCTTAAAAGGAAATCCTGCCATTTGTGACAACAAACATAAACCTTGAGAGTGAAATGAGTCAATAACAACAACAACAACAACCCCTGCAGATTCCACTTCTACGAGGTGTCTTATGTAATCAAACTTACAGAAACAAACAAGAATGGCAATTGCTGGAGGGAGGGATGGGGGTAGGTGGCATGATGGGGAAACAGGTGAATGGGGAAATGAGTTGATAATAGGGAGATTCAGTCATGCAAGATGAAAACCTTCTACAGACCTGCTACAAATATTGTTATCACAGTCAACAATACTATAAGTGTATGTTATTTACCACAATTTTTAAAAGGGGGGCAAAGCTTAATTCCAATCATTTCTAAATGCTTTTCAAAAACGGATTTATAAGACAATATATGCGAAGAAAAATAACCCTGTTTTTCAGCAGATAAATCATATTCAAGTTAATACCCTACATCTTCTTATCTAAATTTGCTGTCTTCTTTGTTTTCATTTCATGGTAAGCTGCCAAAGATCTGACCTTTTTTCCCCAAAGATTTCACAAGTCTAAGAGTTGGCTCTCCCAAGTCACAGTCTCTATAAACTATCACCTAACCTGCCTCTTGAGAAATCTTGAGAAATCTGTATGTAGGTCAGGAAGCAACAGTTAGAACAGGACATGGAACAACAGACTGGTTCCAAATAGGGAAAGGAGTATGTCAAGGCTGTATAATGTCACCCTGCGTATTTAACTTATATGCAGAGTACATCATGAGAAACACTGGCCTGGAAGAAGCACAAGTTGGAATCAAGATTGCCAAGAGAAATATCAATAACCTCAGATATGCAGATGACACCACCCTTATGGCAGAAAGTAAAGAAATACTAAAGAACCTGTTGATGAAAGTGAAAGAGGGGAGTGAGAAACTTGGCTTAAAACTTAACATTCAGAAAACTAAGATCATGGCATCTGGTCCCATTACTTCATGGGAAATAGATGGGGAAACAGTGTCAGACTTTATTTTTGGAGGCTCCAAAATCACTGTAGATGGTGACTGCCGCCACAAAATTAAAAGACGCTTGCTCCTTGGAAGAAAAGTTATGACCAACCTAGACAGCATATTTAAAAGCAGAGACATTACTTTGCCAACAAAACTATATCCTGTCAAGGTTATGTTTTTTCCAATAGTCATGTATGGATGTGAGGGTTGGACTATAAAGAAAGATGAACGCCAAAGAATTGATGCTTTTGAACTGTGGTGTTGGAGGAGACTCTTGAGAGTCCCTTGGACCGCAAGGAGATCCAACCAGTCCATACTAAAGGAGATCAGTCCTGAGTGTTCATTGGAAAGACTGATGCTGAAGCTGAAACTCCAATACTTTGGCCACCTGTCTCTTGATAAACCTGCATGCAGGTCAGGAAGCAACAGTTAGAACTGGACATGGAACAACAGACTGGTTCCAAACAGGAAAAGGAGTAGTCAAGGCTGTATATTGTCACCCTGCTTATTTAACTTATATGCAGAATACATCATGGGAAACATTGGGCTGGAAGAAGCACAAGCTGGTATCAAGATTGCCAGGAGAAATATCAGTAACCTCAGATATGCAGATGACACCACCCTTATGGCATAAAGTGAAGAGGAACTAAAAAGCCTCCTGATGAAAGTGAAGGAATGAAAAAGTTGGCTTAAAGTTCAACATTCAGAAAACTAAGATCATGGCATCTAGTCCCATCACTTCATGGCAAATAGATGGGGAAACAGTGGAAACAGTGTCAGACTTTATTTTTTGGGGGCTCCAAAATCACTGCAGATAGTGATTGCAGCCATGAAATTAAAAGACGCTTACTCCTTAGAAGGAAAGTTATGACCAACCTAGACAGCATATTTAAAAGCAGAGACATTACTTTGCCAACGAAGGTCCATCTAGTCAAGGCTATGGTTTTTCCAGTGGTCATGTATGGATGTGAGAGTTGGACGGTAAAGAAA